AACGAGCAAGTTTTTCCACTGTGGGCTACTGGGGCAATCCTCCACGGAATCATGTGAAATACACCTCGGAGCATTCCTCCACGGTGCAGGAGAAAGCTGTCAGGAACAGAAGTGAGATACAACACTTAAAGTAGGAAACTGTCAGAGATGGGCATTGTCTACTGCAGCTGCCAGTGAACTCTGGTGGGACAAGGGGATGTAGGGTGGGCCCTCAGCATCTGCTGTATCTCGGTTCCCTAGCAAACAGAGGCTAAGGCAAAAATTAAATGCAAATCTATCTTCTGTTTTACTGGTGACAATTCCTATATACACTAATGCCTCTGTACTTTATAGGAGTGTGCTTGGCCCATTCAGGAGTAGGCTGGGAGCAAGAGGAAGTTAATACATCTGGAAGCAACTGTTAACCAATGAGAGTTGTTTTATAAATACATCTCACAGCTCCTCCAATCCTCATGGGATAATTGTGAGGGTTTGACAGTGTCTCTCAGACAGACCACAGTAGAATTGTGTCCTGGTTGCTCACATGGACTCTCTCCCATTAATGTATGCTTGAATTGCTTTTAACCCTTTCCTGTCTCAGTTTCCCACTCCTTCAACATGCACTCACCATACGGTCACGGAGCTGTATCCCAAATAAACTGCTCACATTCAGATACTTATCTCAGGGCCTCAGGGTCAAGGACAGTTGGTACCATAAGGGTTCCTTAAAAGGCAGATCCATAGGATGTGAGATTCTAGCACTGGATCGGGGAATTGTCAGAGGCCATTAGGACTCATACTTACAGTCAGTGGATTTATGACAGCTGGTGTGCTGAACACCAGAAACTAAGACTCTCACCTGTGATGTGTGAAGATGAGGTACAGGTGGAAGTAGTACCCTGGCTATACAATAACTCTCATGTTTGAATTAGAAATATGAGAATTGTGAAGTTTGTTAACTGGTGAAGTCCTGAATAAAGAAAATGACAGGCTCAGATCAAATAACTTGGGCATGGTGTGAAAGTCCTAGGACCTCTATGACAATGTTTGAAGAGAATCTCATTCTACAGACTGTGTTGAAAAGAATACCCGAGATTTGTCATAAATATGCAGATTTATAAAGGTTACTGAATTTAGAGCTCTGGTATGTTTCCTATGTAAAATTCAGAGGTCCTATTAAGGAAGAAATGCTATCCTGAGATTTAGATGAGGACACTTGAGTGGATGCATTTGAAAACTTGAATCCTGAGATTCTCATGAACACCCTGGGCCAGCAGAACTCACTCCTTACCCTTTGCTGGAAGAGAGCAGCCTCACATTGCTTGGAGACCATGTTTCACCAAAGATTACGCTTATCTTCCTAAAGATCTGTGCTTAACTTTCCTTCATTGCATCTAGACCAGTAACTAGGGTCATTACAGTTCTTAGTGTAAGAGGAAGTAGATCACTGGTCAAGAGAGCTTTGGGAGCTGGCTAGTACATGCCATCGGGAGCCAGGAATATATAGGAACAGATCTCGATGATACTGTTTTAGGAGAAACACAATATAAGATTGTACAAGGGAAAGCTTTTAAATAAGGGGGTGCTCAGGATTTAACGTTCTTGCAAAGATACCCAGAACTGATCCTAATACGCTGCTGGGATTATGGCATCTTTGAGGCTTTGAAACATTGGTGGACAATAACGGAGACGGAGATGCTAGAACTACTTTGGCAGAGAAGTGAATTTGGGGGTCAGATTGTTCAGGGGAAAAGGTGTGTGAGAATGGATTTCTTATAAAGGGCCAGAGAAACCACCACTGACCCCATTTCTCTGGAGGTCCTAGAGCAGCGGTTCTCAACCTTCCTAATGCCGTACCCCTTTTAATACAGTTCCTCATGTTGTGGTGACCCCCAACCAGAAAGTTATTTTCGTTGCTACTCCATAACTGTAATTTTGCTACTGTTATGAATTGCCATCGGAAATGTGTGTTTTCCAATGGTCTCAGGCGACCCCTGTGAAAAGGTCGTTCGACCCCCAGAGGGGTCGCGACCCATAGGTTGAGAACCACTGTCCGAGAGGACTATCTTCACTCAAGCAGTAAGAAATGCACATATCAGTCAGAGGAAAACAGCACTGGGACCTCAACAGCAGCTGTCTCTGTAGGCCCAGGTTGATGACAGGACGGGGTGCTATAGAACTGGGCTCCCTAGTGTCAGTGAAGGTGATAAGATTCCAGAATAGTAGAAAAAAGGTGTTAGTCTCTAACTAGTAGAAACAAAGTGATTATAATCACTGCAATGGGCAATAAGACTAGAATGACAAACTCTGGGCCCTGTGCTAAGCATATCTTGTCTAATAGCTTTTGGCTCCCCTAGGGATGATATAGGAGGGCAGGCAATGAGGGCATTTATTGAACTATTCAACCAGCAAAGATCAAAAGCTGGTGGTCAGCATACTAATGCCAGCCTTCTGCAATGGGCATCTCTTGTCCATTTTTCAAATCCTGAGTCAGATCAGTCATTGACCCATTGCCAATTGAAGGAAAAACCAGGTACCTTGCAGGAAGCACCCTGCAATGTCACCACAAATAAATGCAATATATATCCTATACCTTGTTTCCCAAAGGGACTTGTTCCCCAAATGGATATACATGTACCCGAGTAACTACACAATGGGGAAAGGGAATACTCAGATATTTTGAAGACTATCAGATGCAAGGTCTGACCTGACATGGATACCACGGAATCCAAAATGCCCCACGAAGGAGCCCATGTTAATAAATAAAATCCTGATCCAAGGGCCCCTCACAGTGGGTCCAATAGGTCCACGAACCCACTCTCTGGTAATTTCCCTGGCTCCTGAGTAAATAAACTCAGATGATGATGGGACCCTCATAAAGGTTCTTTGACCTGTGAAGTAAGACTTATGGTAGCCAAGACCAAGTGAGAAGCCCTAAATATTTCCTCCATACCCGCCTATCTCCATATAAATTAGAAACACTAACCTATCATGAGTGAAACAGCAGAGATTAATGCCACCACTTAAAGGTTGCAGGGTGGTGATCCACGCCCTCTTCCCATTTGATTCCACAGTATTTATGCAGTAAAGATCAAATGTGAGTGACGGTGAATTACCATAAACGTACACAAGTAGAAGCGCCAATCATGGAGACACTAACTTCACTAGAAGAGACCATCAAGAAAACATAACAAGCCTAACTCTACAGGAACACGGGTGCATAGAAAATTGATCAAGAACAGAATTAAGAAAACACAAATTGTCAGTAGCAGGAAGGAAGGAATGTGGAGACAAAATTTGAGTTTGTGTAAATATAAAAAGTAAAATTAAAAGATATCATGAACACTTCATGCCAATGAATTTGAAAAAATAAGAAAAGAGGAAAAATGCCTTGAAAAACATAATTCACCAAAATTGGCACAAGAATTAAAAAGCTGAATGGTTCTAACTCTTAAAAGGATTGAATCTGAAATCATAGAGTCACAAAGGATTTCAACAGTTAATTCTTCCAAATCTTTTTGAGAAAACAAAGTACTGAGGCCTTAGCCTCATTAAACTTTATTTATAACTTCCAGGAAACAATCATACGAAACAGGCAGTGTAGGCGAGGTCCAGAACCACCAACACCTACATTTCATATATGACTGAGGTGTGAAGGCCCTATCATTGCAACCCCAAACAAGAAAAATCTGAAAGGAACTATTTGGTCCATAGTGCTCATCCAAATTGGCCAAGGCTTTTTCAGGTCTACAAAATAATTCAGTCTCTCTGTCTGCAAAACTGGCTTCATCACAGAACATTTTTTCCTTTCCAGGTGTTCATCCCTAATAAACACCTTGCACTCTAAACTCCTTTTGTGTCTGCTTCTGGAGAACTCAAACGATCACGATGAAGTGATTATGAAAGTACCTAACAGTCCTAGGACCAGGGGAAAAAAGAAAGGAAGTTGAGCTTCTTAGAGTACTGATGATTAAAGGAGATCCTCTGCAGAGCAGGGACCAAGACCCTTTAAGGGGAGCAAGTGAGCAACTAGTGCTCATGCTTCAGGAACTCAGAGGAGGATCACCCTGCTCACCTCAGAGCTGCAACTCAGATCTCTGAGGGTGTCAGTGGCCAACCGGTGCTGGTACTTCTAAGGAAGAATGAGGATAGTGCTAAGAAAGCCAGCGAAACTGGAATCCCAAACCAAACATGTCTACCGGAGTGAATGGTCCCAGCCAAAATGACACTAAGTGTAACTTTCAGCACACAGAAAAGTGAGCTCCCTTTGCCCCTCTTCCTTCATTCCAGGCTACTTCTACTGCCCCTGCTAAAAAGGGGAGAGCTGGCAAAACAAAAATGGGATATAAAGTGGCACATCCCAGACATTACATCTTACAGTACAAAGGCGGGAGAAGGTTTAGATTTGATAGACAACAGCTTCAAAATGTGTCTTTGTTGTTTCTTGGCTCAGGGTACATAAAGAGAACTTCCACGGAGCATCTGGAATCTTGCTTCCCAGCATGTTGTCAATTTGGATGAAATAAATTCTTTTTTAAAAAAATGTTTGTATTGATTTTAGGGGGACACACACACACACACACACAGAGAAACATCAATGTGAGAGAGAAACATTGATCAGCTGATTCTTGCACGTCCCCCCCACCCCCCCCCACCCCCCTTACTGGAGATACATCCTGGAACCCGGGCATGTGTCTGACCAGGAATCAAACTGGCAACCTTTCAGTGCATGGGCTGATGCTCAACCAACTGAGCCACACCAGGCAGGATTCAAATAAATTCTTACAATACTTCTGTTAAAATGAAAAGGATATATTCCAGAAAAAAAAATGAACTTTTAATATTGCTTGAAACACTGAACGGGAAGTAAGAACATTATTCGTACATGAGAGATCCTTACATTTTTCTTTAAACAGTAGACATCTTTCTCTACTATTAAAAAACTAGGAGCCTTAGTGTTCCCCTTCTTCCTCCATCGTCTCTTCTTTCTCCGTGGACTTTTCTTCCTCCTTTATCTCTTCTTCCTTTTTTCTTTTACATTTCTTACAAAGCATAAGGAAGTGATATAAAAATAAAGCAATCAAAGGAATAAGGCACAGTAATGACAGGTAAGCCAACTTTGCTTGTGGTTCTTGATTCTTAGGAGGTGGGCCGCTATCTTTACTACCTCCGTTGCCCTTGTGCTTACAGTAGGGAGGTGCCCACCCATTGTTGCAGTGGCAATGCTGTTTATTGTTGCAGACCCCCTTCATGTGGCAGGTCTCAGACTGACAGTCTTGTGGTGGATGAACCATAATGACACACTTCTGGTGGATGCACATCTTTTCTGGACCACACACTGTGCCCTCTTTGACTTGACCAATATCGGGTATGGACATCCCTAAATGATAATCAGTGCCCCAGCAAGTGGTGTCATTGAACTGATGCTGAAGTATTGTAGTATGATCTATCAGATTAGGAATAACTGACACATTCTCACACTGAACTCTCCCACAAAAGATATCTGAGGTATTACATTTGAGATATGCCGTACCATTTAGACCACAGTTGCCAAAACGGTCTCCCTGGGAGTTGATCTCTTTATAGCAATTCTGAGATGCACTCTTTGCACCTTCACCAAAAATCTCCCTGCACTGCTTGTCATGGTTATTATTACATCGCTTTTGATAGCAGTAGGCATTGTCACCACAGGGATTCCCATCCTGCACATAAACATCTTCTGGGCACTGATGCGATATCCCATTGCACCACTCGGGAAGGTCACATTCATTGATGTGTTTTCTGCACAAAGTCCCTGATGGCATGAACTTGCAGTCTTTGCAACAGAGCCCAAAAGCACAAGCAGCACCAGTCCTCAGAGTGCAGTTCAACAGACAACAGGGATCTTGTTCACACTGCTTAATAGATCCACAGTCACAATCCTCTCCTTCTTCAACAACTAGATTCCCACAATACTGTAACCTAAAAAGATTCTCTGGATGGGGAGGAAGGTACATACATGAACCATTGCTGATAATACAGTCCCAATACTGGGCGTAGCTGCAGTTGCTGAATTTAGTTGTCGGATATTTAGAGGAACCCATTATGCACCACTTGTAACCACATTCACACCAATCACTGTCGTGCAGCATACCCAAATTATGACCAAGCTCATGGGACACTGTAAGTGCAATGGAATACATACTGTTGCCTTCAAAAACGTCAACTCCACAATTAAAAAGACGCTGGCATACCCCTCCCACATAGGCAACACCAACCTTACTTGCAAACAATTTTTTTATGAAAAGATGGGCATCGTCATGTTTTACTCGGGCATCAAGTTGGCTAAACTTCCATAAAGCAAAGTCTTCCAGAAGGTGATATATATCATCAGTGAGAACTGGGTTTCCTTTATTCCAGACCTCAACCGCGGTCAAAATTACATTAACCTTTAAAGGACGATAGATGATACCTACTATATTGACAACATCAAGTACTTCATGCTGCACTGTTGACACATTACTTTTAGAGTAAAGGTATCGAAAGTGGTCCACGACCACTACCAGCTCAAGAAATCGCAAGTGAGTCCACCAGCCCACATAAGAACTTTGCATCAGAGTGGCCTTATACAACCCTCGCAACTCCAACTGGTGTGCTATTTTCTCTTCTGTTAAGCCACATCTCGTAGGTGGGAACTGTATATCATCACCATCTAGCTTATATACTAGGTGTTCAAATGTGTCAGAAAACCTAATGGGCTCGATTTCGTAAGCAAGGTCATTTATCTGCAGCATTCCTCGAAAGCCTCCAGAACAAGTACTGAGGGCAACCAGGGACTCGTGGGCCCCCTGCACATAACCATGATAGTAGCAGTCATCCGGAACAAAAGGCTGATCCTCCTGGAGGGCATGCTGGTCAGTGTAGGTGAACACCGGTAGGTGTCTGGAAACAAAGAGCTTCTTGACCCTCATGTGGACAGTGTGTCTCTGGCCCCCAAATCGCAGGCTGTAGGAGAGCCAGCCTGGAGCCTTAGCATCTCTGCCTCTGCTGGTCACCTTCAAGGGGATCACGACTTCTTGGGAGGAGAAGCGCTGGGAGGGCCTGGCATGAGAGTGGCCACAACTGGACAGAGGCACCCCAAACCACAGCACCAGGAGAGTGACCTTGATGTACACCAGGGCCTCACCCACTGCCATTATGGAGCTTTTATTTTGGATCCATCTATCCAGAGCAGAGGAGGGCAGGGCATGAGGCACTGCTGGTACAGTTCCTCCCTCTGAGCTGTTCTCTGTGCAGGGCTGACCTTTACAGATCCGTGTCTTGGTACAGTTGAACCATCAGAGCTGCAGTGCTGAAAGTTGAACACAGAAAGAGGTAAAGTGGGGTACGTGGGACAGGGAGGGTGGGAAAGAGAGAAAGTGAGGTAAAAGTGATTCTTCAACTGGAACAAGGCTCGAATCAATAAAATACCTGAGATTGCTTATATATATATATGGAGAGGGAGCGTTAAAAGGGTAGGTTTCCAGGAAAAGAGATGAAGAAGACACATCATAGGTGGATTTTAATGGAACCTGGATGGTAGATCCATAAATATTAAAAAAAACTAACTAACATCTGACTCCCAAATTTTTCCTCCACCCCTAATCTACTGATACACTACTGTCTTCAACAAGTATGTGGCCAACCCATCCCAAACGCACCATTGCTGGTCCCTTTATTCAGACAGTTTGTTCCATCTCCCATTTTCCTTCACAGACATCTTATCCACCCCTCATTCTGTTTGCAGTTAGTAATCAAAGAAAGCGCCACTCAGGGGACTCATTAGTTTTGAGACCCTGCTCTAATGAAGACAACTTCTTATATTATAATGCATTGTTATCTGCCAAAAAGACTGGAGGAATGTCCACGAGACAGCCATACTGACGGAGTTACAGGGAGTGGCGCTGCTATTTTGGGGCAAGGCAAACAGCCCAATTGCCTCTAATCACAACATGGAAGCAGCTGCCTTCTTTCTACCCAGCCTACGGCATCATGTTCTCAATCATGAGAGACTCGTCTTGGTTACATAAACAGAGATTACATTCTATATTTTACGTGGCTGGTAAGGAGTTAGCTGAATTCTCTAGGGAAAGCAGGACTGAGGAGTTTACACCTAGGATCAGTTTGTGAAAATGTTCAAAAGACCACAATTTGAGTGGACTTACATCACTCTTGTTGCAAATATAAATTTTAGGTCAGGCAAAACCTAATTTTTCTCATTCACTGAGTTTCAGTTGAAAGCATCGATAATTTGCTTACATAAACGCAAAAGTTAAAATAAACCAGGAGAGCCCGGCTCGAGTGACTCAGTGGTTGAGCATCAACCCATGCACCAAGAGGTTGCCGGTTTGATTCCCAGTCAGGACACCTGCCCAGGTTAGGGGCCCGATACCCAGTGTGGGGCATGTGGGAGTCGGCCAGTTGAAGTTCTCTGACATCGATGTCTACCTCTCTCCCTTTCCCTTCCTCTCCCTCTAAAATCAATAAAGAAAAATTATTGAATAAACAAAATAACCAGTCACTTGGAGAAAATAAAAACGATGGCAGCAGGCAGATCAGAGCAAGGGTGAGTGTGGCAGAGTGTGAGAGAGAGCGTGTGTGTGGACGTGACTGTGGACGAGCAACCTTGGAGCAGGGCAGAAACATGGGGCAGAGGGTTCCGGTGCTGTGGACAGGGAGCAGCAGGCTATCCTGTAAGCTGCTTGTCAGGGTGCTTTTCCCTGCACAGCTGGAAGGCCCCACCATTTTGGAAGACCCGCTGGTCTTCCCTGGGAGGAGGCAGCAGGGAGCGGCTAGGGCCCAGGAACCTGAGTCCACCAGTGCACCTTGCACCATCGGACTAGTGGCCCCATTGGGTCAATGTGGACCACCACACAGTAGCGGAGCTGTCAAGGTACCTGCTGGCAGAAGCAGCAACTGGCGGGGAGCTGAGCACCATCCCCCACAGCAGCAGCACCAGCTTCGGAGCAGAGTAACACTCTCAAGAGCAGCAGCCTGATCGGAACTGAACACCACCCCCAGTAGCAGTAGCACCAGTTGGGAGCCCAGCACCTTCCTCCACAGCAGCAGTGACTGGGCAGCAGTGGAGACCCACTCCCAAGAGCAGCTGAGGCTCGGGAGCCCAGACACACCCCCAGCAGCAGAGGCTCGGGAGTGGACAGCCATCCCCAGGCAACAGCAGGGCAGCTTGGCAGCTGAGACCCAGCCCAAGCAGCAGCAAGGCTCCAGCAGTCAAGACCTGCCCCTGACAACTGCAGCAGTGGATCTGGAGTGGAGCCCCTCCCCCAGCAGCACCAAAGTCCCAGGAGCTGAGCATCCTCAGCCCTTAACAGCAGCAGAGGACTGGGAGCTGAGAGCACCCCCTGGCAACAGCAGCAGCAGTAGCCACGCAAACTGGGAACCGACACTCGCCCCCAGCAGCATCAGCAGCGACGGATCAGGAGCTGAGCCCCATCGGGAAGCAGCGCACCCCAGCAGCGCACCAGCTGGATCCACGCACCCCAGCAGGACCTACCACGACTGACCAATACCAGCCGCCATTTGTCAATCCTCCAGAACCCACAGCAGGCAAGAGGTGCCATGCAGCAAAACAGTCTGGGAGGCACAGCAGCCTTATTTGATACACACCAACCTGCCCACACATCCCAACATTCCTCACCGGGCCTGGCACCACCAGACTGCCAAAATGGTGAGACAAAGAAACAACACCCAGATGAAAGAAAAGGAGGAGTCACCAGAAAAGGAACTACATGAAATGGAAGCAAGTAGTTTGTCAGATAAGGAATTCAAAGCAATGGTTTTAAGGGTGCTCAAACAATTTAGTGAGAACCCACAGCAACTTAATGAAGAAATAATGACAGAAAACTTCCCTAATCTGGCGAAGGAACAAGTCACACAAGTCCAGGAAGCACAGAGAGTCCCAAGCAAGAAGAACCCCCAAATACCCACAGCTATTATTAGACACATCATAATAAAAATGGCCAACATGAAAGACAAAGAAAGAATCTTAAAGGAAGCCAGAGAGAGGCAGAAAGTTACCTACAAGGGAGCTCCCATTAGACTGTCAGCTGATTTCTCAATAGAAACACAGCAGGCCAGAAGGGAGTGGCATGCAGTATACAAAGTAATGAAAGGCAAGGGTCTGAACCCAAGGCTTCTCTATCCAGCAAGGCTATCATTCAAAACTGAAGGTGAAATAAAGAGCGTCACAGACAAAAAAATATGCTGAGAGGCAAATGGAAATGGAAAAAAAGCTGGTGTAGCAATACTCATATCTGATAAGATAGACTTCAAAACGAGGGCCATAATAAGAGACAACGAAGGTCACTACATAATATTAAAGGAATCAATCCAACAAAAAATACAACTCTGGTAAACATATATGCACTGAATATAGGAGCACCAAATTATATTTAAAAACTTCTGGAGGACTTCAAGGGAGAGATCAATAGCAATACAGTCAGAGTGGGTGACTTTGACACCCTACCGACACCACTGGATAGATCTTCTAGATAAAAAATTAACAAGGAAACAGAGTCCCTCAAATGATGAAGTAGATCAGTTGGACTTACTTGATATTTACAGAATATTTCACCACAAAGATGCAGAATATACATTCTTCTCAAGTGCACACGCAACATTCACAACGATAGAGCACATGTTAGGACACAAGGTAAGTCTCTACAAATTCAAGAAGACTGAAATCATATCAAGCATCTTCTCAGATCACAAGGGCATGAAACTAGAAATCAATTACAATGAAAACACCCAAAAGCATTCAAACACATGGAGGCTAAATAGCATGTTATTAAACAGTAAATGGGTTACCGAGGAGATCAAGGAAGAAATCAGAATCTCCTGGAAAGTATTGAAAATGTATACACAACAATCAAAATCTATGGGACACAGCAAAAGCAGTTCTGAGAGGGAAGTTCATAGCAATACAGGCCTACCTCAAGAAAGAAGAAAATTTTCTAATAAAGTATCTAACCCAACAACTTCAAGAGTTAGAAAGAGAACAAAAAGAAAAACCCAGAGTTAGTAGAAGGAAGGAAATAATAAAAATCAAAGCAGACATAAATGACATAGAGGCAAAAATATCAATGAAACCAAGAGCTGGTTGTTTGAAAAGATAAACAAGATTGATCACCCTTTAGCCAAAGTCACCCAGAAACAAAGAGAGAGAATCCAAATTAATAAAATCAGAAACAACACAGGTGAAGTAGCAAGGGACACCACAGAAATACAAAGGATTGTACGAAAATACTACAAACGATTCCATGCCAACAAATTTGACAACCTAGGTGAAATGGATAAATTCTTAGAATCATATACTATTCCAAAACTCAACTGGGATGAGTCAGAAAACCTAATCAGAATGATAACAATTAAGGAAATAGAAGAAGTAATCAATAAAATCCCAGCCAACCAAAGCCTTGGTCCGGACGGATACACGGGAATTTTACCAAACATTCAAAGAACTATCACCTATTTTCCTCAAACTATTCCAAAAAATTCTAGAGGAAGGAAGACTTCCAAGCTCCTTTATGAGTCCAGCATAATCCTAATCCCAAAAGGAGATAAAGACACTACCAAGAAAAAAAAATTACAGGCTAATATCCACGATGAACATAGATGCCAAAATCCTCAACAAAATCTTAGCAAATCAAATCCAGCAATGCATTTTAATAAATTATATACCGCGACAAAGTGGGATTTATCCCAGAGATTGAAGGCTCGACAATATTTGTGAGTCAATAAATGTGATACACCACATAAACAAAATGAAAGAAAAAAATCGTGATCATATCAACAGACGCTGAGAAAGCATTTGACAAAATCCAGCATCCATTGTTTTGTTTTTAATCCTCATCTGAGGATATTTTTTTCATTTATTTTCAGAGAGACTGGGAGGGAGAGATAGTGAGAGAGGAACATAGATGTGAGACACATCGATTGGTTGCCTCCTACACGACCACACGAGGGCTGGGGACCAAACTGCAACCAAGGAACGTGCTCTTGACTGGAATCAACACCACAACTCTGGTCCACAAGCCAAAGATCTAATCGCTGAGCCAAACCGTCCAAGGAAGAGCTTTTTTTTTGTTAAAAAAAAAAGTGAAATTTGATGACAGTCAAATTTATTCATGCAATATTCTCTTATATTTACTGGGTTTTATATTTTTATATTTATATATAAGTTTTAAAAATGTTTTTATTGATTTTTTTTTAGAGAGGCAGGAAGGGAGATAGAGACAGAAACATTGATGTAAGAGAGAAACATCGATCCACTGCTTCCT